TAAGTGGTGTTGTCATTTCAGGCCGGTTTAAAGTTTTGCCCTCCGCAAAGGTATTCAATGTGGAAAGTTGCAGTTAAAGTTGAAAGTTATTTTTGTCAAATGCAAACTTGAAGGAGAATTGTCACCCAGCTTTGCAGTTCAGGTCTATCCATGTCCAGTTCTAAACAATCAACTTTGTTTTTAGACACAGCAGTCCGGTTTTATTCCACACTGTTCCGAAATGACCAATAAAGTGGCCACAAAATAAATAATCAATTAATGCAGCTTTTACGGGTTTGGAAAGTCATGTCTTTATAATGTTTCCATTGAAATATCAACTGATTTCAGATTCAACAAACATGAATCTCTTTGATTAGTCCAGTTTGATTTTTACATCATGAGCACTCTGCAGAGCTTATAATGCCTTTTCAGTTTATTGCGAATGTTTTTGTTTTTTTTATGGTTGTTGTAAAGTGGGGTCATCAATCACAAATCTATTATGTTGAGTGTCCTTTCAGTGTCTTCTCCAGGTACAATGTTTTTCTTCATTTAAAATATTACCAGAGAGGTAGCTTATTGCACACAACAATATCTGAGTTAAAATTAGCTCAGAATGTGTTTACATTTTATAGATCTTGTCATATCTTAGACAAATTGCACCCATTAAATATTCTGGCCTGTAATTCATTGTAATCACTCAGATACATTTTTAAGTGGAAAAGTGTATGCTTTCAGTAGACGGAATTACATTTGGGTTTTTGAGATGTCATTATAACAAAAAGCTTCAGTGATTCAGCCAGACATTAATTTCTGGCAGAAAAAGACAAGCATCTGAAATAAGATTTAGACCATAACTCACAACTGAATACTGACTTTATATCTGGTGGCTTTGTTTTTTGTCCATGTACAGCTTACAGCAGACAACCATTAAGCAGTTGACTGTGAGTTCCTGGAGAATAACTTCACCTGCAACAGATAACATAATGTGGGCTTTCTTTTGCAGTCGCTACTGAAACTGGATGGGTCATATTTGTTAAGTTTGGTAGGACTGAGGACCGGGGTGCGGATTCAGATCACTCTAGGCAGGTTGAGGTCA